CTCTCTATCCATCCATCCATCCATCTCTCTATCCATCCATCTCTCTATCCATCCATCCATCTCTCTATCTATCTATCTATCTATCTATCTATCTATCTATCTATCTATCTATCTATCTATCTACCTATCCACACCCTCTCTCTCTCTCTCTCTCTCTCTCTCTCTCTCTCCAGTCTATCTATCTATCTATCTATCTATCTATCTATCTATCTATCTATCTATCTATTTATCTATCTATCTATCCATCTATCTATCCATCTATCTATCCATCCATCTATCTATCCATCTATCTATCTATCTATCCATCCATCCATCTATCTATCCATCCATCTCTCTATCCATCCATCCATCTCTCTATCCATCCATCCATCCATCTCTCTATCCATCCATCTATCTATCTATCTATCTATCTATCTATCTATCTATCTATCTCCAGTCTATCTCCCTCTCTCTCTCTCTCTCTCTATCTGTCCGTCCCTGCTGCTGTAATATTTTAATGAACACATTTACTAACGCTCTAGAGGTATGATCCATCCTATATGTAAAATGCCGCGTAGCATACAGATAGATGATCAGATATAAATACAAGGATGATGTGTCTGTGTATCACACGGTGTGTTTGTAGTGTTGATGATGGGAGAACAAGTGATACAATAGATAATTTAGTGGCAGTATCCCCCCCACTTCCTCCACAAGCTCATCGTGACATTTTCATTACATGAGTCCCAGAAATGATGCCTAACACTTGTCTGTGTTGCTATGGTAACCCACAGCCGGTCGCCTTGTGAAAACGGTTTCCGTCATCAGCAACGAATCAGAGGAGGCCAGTTCAGACCAGAGCACTCCGCAGAAACTCATGGCTCAGCACAGGATGACAAAGGATGAGGCGTGCAAGTGGAACGGTGAGAAGGGATCTGTGCAATGTGTTCTGCAGACTGCGCTCTACATCATCTGCCGCCAGACGCAGAACGCTCCATTCCGTCCTAATGACTTCATCCGCTGTGCAGTGCAGGCACATAGATCGTCATCTAAATCACCACATTCATATCATACAGAAACATACTTGGAGAGTCAGTAAGGGAAACACTAAACACAGGAGCAGTGCCTGCGCTGCATTTCAATGAGCAGAGAATCAGCGCAGAGCTCCTGTCCTGACATTCAGGGTGTACCCATAGGTTATGATTGATATAAAAGGCCTAATAATATATTTAAGTCCCAAAGTTTATTAGAACATAAAGAATACCTCCGCCTTTAGGACAAAACACTTACTGTACAGCAGGAGTCTCCAAACTTCTCAGTATGAGGACCACATCGTATATTTTACACATATTCAGGGGCTTAAAATATAATTGGACACATTTACATTTTTAATCAGCATGGTAGAATTTAGAGCAACAAATAATGTAAGTAAAACAAAGCAAAGCAATTCCAAATAAACATCAGAGTCTCCATCAAAGTCCCTCTTACATCAGAGTCTCCATCAAATTCCCCTTTACATCAGAGTTCCACCCATCAGAGCCCCCCTTACATCAGAAACCCCATCAAAGTCCTTCTTACATCAGAGTCCCCATCAAAGTCCCCCTTACATCAGAGACCACATCAAAGTCCCTATCAAAGTCCCTCTTACATCAGAGTCCCCATCAAATTCCCCCTGACAACAGAGTACCCATCAAAGTCCCCCTTATATCAGAGACCACATCAAAGTCCCTATAAAAGTTCCTATCAAAGTCCCTCTTACATCAGAGTCCCCATCAAATTCCCCCTGACAACAGAGTACCCATCAAAGTCCCCCTTACATCAGAGACCACATCAAAGTCCCTATCAAAGTTCCTATCAAAGTCCCTCTTACATCAGAGTCCCCATCAAATTCCCCCTGACATTAGAGTACCCATCAGAGTCCCCCTTACATCAGAAACCCCATCAAAGTCCCTCTTATATCAGAGTCTCCATAAAATCCCCCCTTACATCAGAGTTCCCATCAAAGTCCCTCTTACATCAGAGTCTCCATCAAATTCCCCCTGACATCAGAGTACCAATCAAAGTCCTCTTACATCAGAGACCCCATCAAAGTCCTTATCAGAGTCCCCAACACAGCCCCCTTACATCAAAGTCTCTATGAAAGTCCCCCCTACATCAGAGACCCCATAAAAGTCCCTATCAGAGCCCCCTTACATGTCCCTATCAGAGCCCCCTTACATCAGAATCCCCATCACAGCCCTCTTACATCAGAGTCCTCATCAAAGTGTCTCTTACTTCAGAGCCCTCATTACAGCCCCGTTACATCAGAGTCCCTATCAAAGTCCCCCCTACATCAGAGTCCCCATAAAAGTCCCCCTTACATCAGAGCTCCCATAAAAGTCATCAGAGTCTTCATCAGAGCCCCCATCAAATTCCCATTTACACCAAAGTCCCCTTTACATCAGAGTCCCCATCAAAGACCCCCTCACATCAGAGTCCCCATCAGAACCTGCTTACATCAGAGTCCCCATCAAAGCCCCCCTTTATATCAAAATCCCCATCAAAGTCCCCCCTGCATCAGAGTCCCCATCAGGCCCTCCTTACGTCAGAGTCCCCTTCAAAGTTCTGCTTACATGAGAGTCCCCATCAAAGACCCCCTTACATGAGAGTGCCCATCAGTGATCGATCTCTCCCTGCATTAATTCCTGACTCTTTTTTATTCACCTGGGAGTTTTTGGTGTTCTACCCCTTTTGTGTGTTCCAGCTTCTCCTTTTGTGTTTTATATGATATAAAAAGTATTTTTAAAAAAGTAGGGAAAATGGCAACCCCACATAAGGGCACATGCATACGGATCTATGCAGGCGCACATGTACTCTAGTGTAAAATTCCATGCGTTTCCTCATGCCCAGGGAGCCACAGGTGGCACATAGAGCTGGCCATAGCAGTAAATGGCTGTACATGGACTTTTTGCATTTGCGTTTACCCTTGCTTACATGTATGGCTAGTAGTACTAGGGTTGTTGGTTCAAATCCCAGCCATGGCACCACCTGCCTGGAGTTTGCATGTTCTCCCTGTGCCTGCGTGGGTTTCCTCTGGGTACTCCAGTTTCCTCCAATGCTCCAAAGACATGCTGGTAGGTTAATTGGATCCTGTCTAAATTGGCCCTAGTAAGTGTATGTATGAATGTGAGTTATGGACCTTAGATTGTATGCCCCTTGAGGGTTAGGGACTGATGTGAATGTACAATATATATGTAAAGTGCACTGTGTAAATTGATGGCGCTATATAAGTACCTGAAATAAATAATACCTACATATGCCTTACATGCATATGACAAATTTCCCAAGCACAGAAATTAGGGGGAATAAGTCATACATGCAGGCGTCAATGACTGTTATGGCAGGCTGTACACATAATCTTCCTCCCTCTGGACATGGAAAAACCTTGTGAATCTTAGGCTTAGAGGACATTTGTGCATGCAGACGTTCATGTACCCTAATATCCACAGAAGATATGCAAGGAACAAGCACAGAGATCTGACCAGGGGCGGACTGACCATTTGGAAACTCGGGCACTGCCCAAGGGCCCGGGGTCAGTAGGGGGCCCCATGAGATGCCCCTGTACCTTTTTCATAGGCTTTTTTGAGTTTGGGCAAGGACACAGGGGCCCCATGATCCCCTATTGCCCGGGGGCCACATGAGTTGTCAGTCCACCCCTGGATCTGACCAATAGAGTCCCTGAAAGACATAAGAAACTGCTGGATGATATTCTTTCCTGGATTTACCAGAAGCTGAGATATCAGTTTTGGGTGGAATTATGTTTTATTTTTTTTAATCACAACTGGGATACAAATAATTACAAATATACCTATGTACATTTCCTAAAGTGCTAATTAGCAAACCTGCCTGTTGTCTAAGTATTCGCACCACATCAGTGTGCTGTTTAATGCACACATTGTTGCGTGTTGAGGTGCATTGCATTAGGCAGCTCATTCATTTTGAATGAGACGTGAGCACACCACAATGCACAAAAAGTAGACCATGGATTTATCTTTCAAAATGCAGTACACTGTAGTACACAGAGTGTTTGGAAATATACATTGTAGTTTGCCATAGCACATTGTATATGTGCGTTGGGTTAGAGTTGACCATGATTGGAAACACATAGCTGTTTAATAAATACCCAAACGCAGTTTTTAGGCCTCATTCACATGGGCGTAGATATGCTTACATTCATGCAAAGGGCCATCTTTGCTTGCACGGCATGCGCACAGGTGTTCTGTGCATCTGTATGCAGAGAGTTCAATTCATGTCTGTTGGGATGCAGCAGCTGCCTAAATACAGCTGGTCCCAATCTGTCAGCCGTGTGGTTGTGTGTCACCAAACACAGACAGTATGCCTTGGGGGGACACACACTTGCACCCGCACGGCTGTCAAATTGAGACCAGCGGCTGTACCCATTCAGATTTTGCTTCCCAGTAGATAATAATGGGACTACCTGCATGTGGAAGCACAGAACATGTGTGCATCCCGTATGGACAAAGACAGCTCTTCACACAGGTGTACGCATGGATGTGAACGAGGCCTTACATGCCGTTTTATTTTATTGACTTACATGAAATAGTACTGTTAGTAAGATGTGTCTTTTTTTTCTTTGACATTCAGGACTTAGAAAACATAAACAGAAAATTGGTAAGAATTTCAGTGCATCATTCTGTTGTTACTAACCTACGAAGGTTGTGTGCTGGTGGGAGTCTTTTAACACCTCTCTCCTCTGATGTCTCTTCTGACTGGTGAAAAAAATTGTGTGGATGTCCAAAAAGGAATTTCATATATTTGTTAACATGTGCCTGACCACCACATCTAAATAAGCTTGTTGGACATACCATTCCAGGTCAGGTCTGATGTTGGATGAGAAGATCTGGTCCACAGGTGGTGTTCCAATTCATCCCAAAGGTGTTTAGTAGGGGTGTGGCTAGAGCTTTGTGAAGGTCACTGGAGTTCCTCTACACCAAACTGATCTGACTAGTGAAAAGGTTGTACTGGACGCCCAAAAAAGGGATCACACATCTATATATTTATACTGTATACATCTGATCATAACACCTAAATGAGCTTGTTGGACCTACTGTTTCAGATCAGGTACTGATGTTGGATGAGAAGATCTGGTCTACAATTAGTGCTCTATTTCATCCCAAAGGTATTCAGCAAGGTTTGAGGTTAGGGCTCTGTGCAGACCACTGGCGTTCCTCCGCACCAAACTCATCTGACTAGTGATAAAGGTTGTCTTGATGCCCAAAAAAGGGATCGCATATTTATGTTTGTACTGTATACATCTGATCATAACACTTAATTGAGCTTGTTGGACCTACTGTTTCAGATCAGCTATTGATGTTGGATGAGAAGATCTGGTCCACAATTAGTGCTCTAATTCATCCCAAAGGTATTCAGTAAGTTTGAGGTTAGGGCTCTGTGCAGACCACTGAAGTTCCTCCACACCAAACTCATCTGACTGGTGATAAAGGTTGTTTGGACTCCCAGAAAGTGATCACATGTACAGTCAGGTCCATAAATATTGGGACATCGACAAAATTCTAACATTTTTGGCTCTATACACCACCAATGGATTTGAAATGAAACAAACACTATCTGCTTTCACTGCAGACTGTCAGCTTTAATTTGAAGGTATTTACATCCAAATCAGGTGAACAGTGTAGGAATTACAACAGTTTGCATATGTGCCTCCCACTTGTTAAGGGACCAAAAGTAATGGGACAGAATAATAATCATAAATCAAACTTTCACTTTTTAATACTTGGTTGCAAATCCTTTGCAGTCAATGACAGCCTGAAGTGTGGAACGCATAGACATCACCAGATGCTGGGTTTCATCCCTGGTGATGCTCTGCCAGGCCTCTACTGCAACTGTCTTCAGTTCCTGCTTG